TTGCTAAATTTTCAGTGCATTAGTGCTTTAGAATCAGCTTTTGCTAAATTTTCAGTGCATTAGTGCTTTAGAATTAGGAGACCTAAATATTTGAGTTAGTGGAACTAATTTTTAGATTAGTGCTGCCCACCACTGCAAACAAGGTTCTGGTCATTTAACAAGCTGAGACGTACCCTGTTGAGGTGGGCGGTGGGGAGGCTGCCGTCACYGGAAACCTCAGACCCTGAGCTGAAGAACGAGGAGGGGGGCGGGCTGCAGGGGTAAGAGTAGCTGGAAAACCGCTCGCTGTAGCCGAGGTGATGAGGGAGCTRCGAAAAGTCACAACAATTTGAAAAACTGCTACTAAAAGCAAAGTAACTTYTCAACTTGAAATGGGTTGAGCCACGTTGAGCTGGCAGACCAAACCCTACCTGCTGACTGAATCCTGCCGAGACGCCACTATCAACGTTCTCCTGCTGTTCGTACAAGTGGGCCAGGGCATCCTGGGGAGAAACAGCAGATGGGCATCAGACCACATCACGTCATGTAGCTTAGCWCATGTGCGGCAGTAAAGCAGCATATATTAATGCCATTAAAGGACAAGCATGAAGACCAGTGCACAGATGAGGCAGTGATAAAGAGGCAGTTACCTGGTGTAGAGGAGGATATTCAGGGCTGTAAGAGTCCTGGTAGCGCAGATTAAAATTCTGCTGCATGTTTTGATGGGTGTACTGGTTGGACAAATTACTTAATGTTGGCCTTTTCCTGTAGGGGTGAGGTCTGCAGCTTGCTCCTGACAAATAAAAACAGGGGACATAAACAGTATATTTAGCTGAGTGCTTTGAGTTCACACAAAACAAGATCAAGAAAAACAAATTATGGATCACCACTCTTGGAGGATGTTCTTTCAATTGTTTAATTATGTATTTAAAAAGAAAATGACACAAAACTACCATTTTTCAGTTTCATCATCCATTTTTCATGTCGATCTGCTTTGTGCAACACCTCTCAGAAAGGTGAGAGCACTCAGTTTTTAAGACTAATTGGCAGATTTAATCTGATGCAGGTGTTTGAAAACTGAAAATTACAGAGTCTGCATTTATTTTAAACTATGACTGACTAGATTTTTTTTGTCTTTGTTATTGTTTATTTTTATTCAAGAAGGTTGGAATAAAAAAAAAGGATAGTTTTGTGGTATGTCTGATTTTTTTAAACTAAATTAAACACCTGAAACATCCTTCACGAGTGGTAATTCCATAGTTTTTGTTGTAAAAAAAAAAGTAAGCAGTGTTTCTTTTTTTTTCTTCCCACTTTTCCTCCWACTTACCCGAGGAAAACGTATTGTTGGCATTGAGGAAGGCGCTCTGGGGAAGGTTCACATCTTTTGAGAGTTCACTCAGTACCTGACATTGAATAAGAATAACTTTATTACATTACCACTTTGAGAGGTTAAAAAATAAAAAAAAGGTTAAAGAAATAAAAAAGCATCTGTGATCACGTATGGAAACACACCCCTTGTGCTGCGAGCATGTCTGCCCCCATCATGCCTCCCATCAGGGGAAAGGAAACGCCTGGTAGTGTGGGGGGAGAAGTCTGGGGGTAGCTGCACACTGATGTGGGAGATTCCTGCTCTCGTGACAGGGCCCTGCCAAGTGACAGTGGCTTTAAGGGGGCCAGAGGATCTGACTGGAGACCTGGGATAACAAAATAACAACTGATTTTAAAAGAGTTCAGTTGTAGAAAATGTTCTAATAGAAAACATAAGTCACATTGTCCTAAACTCAGGTTCTTGATTTGTTAAAGGAGACCAATTATKGGTCCTAGAAAKTTTTATGGTATGTCTGTGGGCTATCCAGACCATGTTCATTCAATTTAATGCACAAAATAATTCTCAGATAATAAAATTTCCCATTTTCTAGTTCTGCCGGCTCTGACTTCAGTTCAGAAGAGCTGTTTATGTTTATGAGCTCTGTTGGTAACGCCCTCCAAAAATCTGTTGACATTAACTCCGCCCTCCAAAGCCAGAGTTTATGTTAGCATGGCTAATAATAGCAGAAGCTCCGTTGTACAACCATATGAGAGACCCAGAGGCAGAGTTGTGGTCGCAGCTTCTTTTTTTTTCTTCTCTCCCTCCTCTGCTCTGCGCTCACTCTGCATGCTGTTACCAGAGCAGGGAGCAGCAGCGGTCAAAATACCTCAGAAACTCGAACAAATGGGCTTTAACAAGGATTTAATAAGCTAAACAATAGAGGTACATGAGAAAACGTGTTCATAACGAATGAAAATAAATAATTAAATTGTGTCCGTGCTGCTCTCTCGTCCAACACTCTGCCCATTGTCCTATTGGAGACCTGTTGTGAAATGAGCTGCGCATTACACAACAACACCGTGACGGCTTTTTATATTGAGGAGGTGGAGCCTCACCCGGGGGTTGCTAGGTGAGGGGCTGAACGCAGGTTCTGGTGGGTTGTCGTATGACTTGTGACATCACAAAATGACGGAAGTATAAAACTTGTCGTTAATATACATTAAAAATACATTTACTTACAGTAAATATGCCCCTGGGTGCATTTTTTTGGTCCTAGAACTGTTTTTTTAGAAGTACATACCCAAAGTTGAGTAAAAAAAAACTTTAAAAAGTGAATTTTGCACAATAGGTCCCCTTTAAGAAATGACAGAACTGATGTTACGCACAATGTCCCTCACATTCAGTATTAGAANACAATGTAACGATGATCCGCTCACTCGCTGATAGCACAATTTCTTCCTCTGGACACCTGACATGCTCATTTTTCAACCGTTTCCTATCCAAACAATCCAACCTGAATAACAGAGATCTTTACCCGGAAGTACTCGATCTCATAACYTTTGTCCGGAAGTTAGCAGAAGCCATATTGTGCACATAGCCAATTGGAGACCTGTTGTGAAATGAGCTGCGCATTACACAACAACACCGTGATGGCTTTTTATATTGAGGAGGTGGAGTTTCAACCGGGGGTTGCTAGGTGAGGGGCTGAACGCAGGTTCTGGTGGGTTGTCGTACAGCTTGTGACATCACAAAATGACGGAAGTATAAAACTTGTCGTTAATATACATTTAAAATACATTTACTTACAGTAAATATGCCCCATGGTGCATTTTTTTTGGTCCTAGGACTGTTTTTTTAGAAGTACATACCCAAAGTTGAGTAAAAAAAAACTTTAAAAAGTGAATTTTGCATAATAGGTCCCCTTTAAGAAATGACAGAACTGATGTTACGCACAATGTCCCTCACATTCAGTATTAGAAACAGAATTCAGATGATTAAAGCCTAATTGGACAATGTGAGTGGAACAAAAATCACAAATATAAGAAGTGCAGATGATGATTAACGGGGAAAAGGGGATACAGATGTTTGCAATCAGAAGCACACCAACAAACACGTCATTAGTTGCTCAAGGAGACCCGGCTGGGACTGAAAGATGCCAAACCTTGAGGGACATCTCCCAGCAGATGGACTCCCTGCTGGATGGGCAGAGCAGCCAGAGGATTGTCCCCGATGAGTCCTGCCTGTTGGGTCGAAGGACAGATCAGTGTCACGAGGGTCACTCTGCCTGCCACTAAAGTTTACTTACAAGATATCAGATCATCCCTTTAAAAAGGACAGTTTCACAGCATTCAGCACCACAAACATAAAAAATCTTCACACTTTTCCCAGAGAGAGCTTACCAAGCCGGGCAAATCCAATCTCTATTACAAACTACATCACGTTTGGAAGCAATCTAGCTATCCCTCACACACAGGACAGCCAAACACTAAGCACCATTATCACTCACACAAGGGAAAAGAGGGTTTTCTTTACTGTGCAGCACCTGAGCCCAAAGAAGCTGATTCCCCAGAAAAGCTTGCTAATGGCATGGAGGGACAGAACAGAGAGCGGCGAGAAAACAAGTTGAGGGTGAATCAAAACAACAGGATGAAGTAGCAGCAGGAAGGAGCGTGTCGAGGGAAGGGGCCAAGAGGCTGTCGGTACCTGCTGGGCTTTGGCCTGGTTCTGTAGGAGCACCTGCAGCAGGGCAGCTGAGAGAGCRGGGTTGGCTAGCAGCGGCATTGCAGGGGCTGCTCCCAGGAGGCCTGGACAGAAAGAAAAATCAAGATCCAAGGAATAAAACCTATAATGAAATTAATTTGAAAAAATGTTGCAGAGGGCTCTTAACCTTGCTTGTGTCCCTGTGACAGAGGGTTGAGCAGCATCTTGAGGGTGGCAGAGTTATTAAAGCCTGTGAGTATCTGCAGGGCTGTGGGATCAGGGAGGAGACCTTTGCCTCTGTTTAAAGCCTGGGGAGGGAGGAACAATGAGAGAAGGCATCACCCTCTGACTGATTAAGTGGCAGCCGCGGATAGACGGGAATTAAGCCTTTTGCCTAAACAGTAATACCATGGTTTGTGCAGCGATCAGAGCAGCCAACATGCTTCTTCCAGGAGGGCCGGGGGCACAGAAGGACACCCTGATGTGTGTCCCGCCCAGCAGCCTGCCATCTGCGAGGCGCTGTGCCTCCTCAGCCATCTCTGCAGTGGAAAACTCCAACACGGCGAAACGCCGGAAACTTCCATCTTGTCCCTGAGCCAGCTATAAAGAGGAGGAATTAAAAAGGTTATGTAATTTCAGACACCGTTTAAAAACTCTGATCACAGCAATTATTCCATTCCAAAGAATGCAGTTAGTGCAATTTATGATSAAAATGTACTTTAAATGTGCTAAAATTAAGCAAAATAACTAATTTGTGTCCAAAAATCAGGTGAAATTATTTTTAAGCATTTTATTTTCATCTAATCTACTCAATCTGTTTAAAGGTTAAACTAATCATTTACAAGTAAACTCCTGTTCAAGCAGCTTTTCTTTTGCATAATATTTTATATTAAAGAGATGGGCAGTGATTTAAACCAAAGTCTAATAAAAACAGGCAAATTTGATGAACTAATAGGAGCAGTGTTCTCTGCACGTCGCTTAAAATGTCCATGTCTAATCATTAGGGCTGCAACGATACGGAAAATTCACGATTTTTGGTTCAGTTCAATACTTTAATGTCACGGTTCAATATTTTTTTCGATACAATAAAGTGAAATTTTCATGCCCTATTTAAATTGTAATTTATTTAAATTAATTATGAACATTTGTTTAACCTCAAAAGTAGTTTTTAAATTAAATGTTGCTGAAACAGCAAGTTCCTCAGTGGATCTGAGCTCAAAAATGCAGCCTAGGTGGAGTAGTCGAGCACAGATCCACTGATCCTTCAACACAGAGCATCTTCAGAAGACAAGTTGATCAAATAAATTTTTTAAATCTGTATTGTTCGATACATAGTATGTATTGAACGGTTCGATACGGGTCCACGTATTGTTGCACCACTACTAATCATTCGATGCAGTCTGAGATTAACTTTAGAGTTCACAACATCCAAAACAATTGAATCAAATCTTGTTAAAAGGAGAACTAAAAACAAAAGAGTTACCCTTGAAATATCAAAGTCCACAATCATTATTCTGTAAAACAATCTTAAAATTGCCATCTGAAACTAAAAAAAAAAAGCTTGTATACCAGTCAAAAGCCCCTGCTCCCTCTCATTCCAGAAAAGCCTGCTGAATGACACCACCTGGGGGAGTCAGGTGGTCATCCCCATAGAAACCAGCATACCGCTATAGAACCTTTGAGTGGCCACATAAAAACTGGGGCAAAGGTGCTAAAGGACTAAAACATGGAGAACTTTACAAAACAATTACACAATCGTTATAATCCCTTTATCAATCCCTATCCCCACAACTTAAAACACTTTGACATGGTAGTGCTTAACACTCACTAAGCTACAAAATCTTTTAATCTGGCTTCACACTGCAGGAATCTAGAACAGCTGAATGAAGAACCCACTAAAGATCAGACATGAAGGCCAGAACCTGTTGATTATAGTAAAAATATGATGAGTAGTAGTGGGTAAGTACCTGACAGAAGACAGGCATGTGAGTGTCGGACAGGGAATGGCGGAGATCCTGAGCGGTCAGGAGGCTCGCGGGCAGGCGGTCCACACACAGACACCTGGAGTGCAGCAGCGGGTACGTGAGCGAGCCCACCTCGGTCCAGTGGACGTACAGCATGCGAGAACCGAGCTGCTTCCCCAGCAGCTCGGACTTGGCCCTGGCCGCCGAGTCCTTCTTCATGTACTCCACGAAGCCGTAGCCTTTGGAACGCCCCGTGGACGAGCTGTAGACCAGGAAGCAGCGCTCGAGGTTGCCGAAGGGCCGCACCAGCTCCTCGAACTGCTGCTGGCTGAAGGCTCGGGGCAAGTTGGCGATGCACAGCAGCGCGTCGGTCGGCTGCAGCTGCACGGAAATCTCCCGGTCCCGGAGGACGTACTGGTGGAACTCTTTGATGGCGCGCTGGGCCTGCTCCCCGTTGAGAAGGGTCACAAACGCTGAGGGAAAGTAAACAAACAAACAAACAAACACAAAGTTTGATGTAAATTGAGGGAGTGGGATCTGTTCAAGCAGACTGCAGAGAAAAGATCAGCTTTCATGCAAGGCAGGTTTCAAAAAGAAAGCCTTGTTGTTGACAGCTTCCCCTTAAGCATGCCTGATTAAAAAAATGATGCTGGTGGCACAATGTCAGCAAGCAGCATTTTTATTTCTGCCAGACTGAAACCACACATTTTTATGGAGACTAACAAGAATCTAAGACATTTAAAACAAACTAATTGTCCCTGAMCAAAAGAAGCCACATCTAGCCTCGGACACTTTTTAATGTTATTGCCTTTTCATTGTAAAACAACGTGACTGGCTCTAAATGTTGATAATGCTGTAATTTTTCTGTGCTACAACCGTCTGGTAAATACCAGGCATTCCCTGAATTTACCATCTGGTTTTCTTTTTATTACCTCGTTATTGTCTGCCACCTTCTAGAGAAATATTGCTCTGAATAGGAAAAGCARTTCAAAACGCCTATTCTGAGCTCATGTTTCTTTAAACAAGTCCAGCCTCCTGAATGTGGATGCAGCTCACGACAGTATTGATGACCCAGGTGAATTTAAATTGATTGCAGCTCGACGTGACCTTGTGACAAGGAAGTTAAGGCCTCTGCATGGTGCGTCAGGAACTGTCGAAATCACTCCATTCTGCCCGTAGCTTCAAACCTTACAAAACCTTCAAAAACCCACCAGAGAACTTTTTACGCCGTTTCCACGTAAGAAATTAATGTTATTTAATAAGGCATAAGAACATGAGAAATTTTGCTTTAATTAATCGCTTCCAGAAGCCGACTTGTTGCACCCGGGAGCAGACATTTGTCAAGACAAAGACAAAAACTCGTGAATGGATAAAACAGATGTGCACGGAGCAATCCAACTACAGGGGCAACTTTAACAGGGACAGATTTATGTACAAATTACGACAGATAAGAGTTTTCTTTTCCTCTCTCCTGAAGTGTAGACTCCAGAGGGAAGGGTTTCCCCAGGAGCTCGGCGTGTCTCAGGAGCTTTGAAAGGCGTGTGCGAAAACAAACGCCGGACCACCACGTGACCGTTCAGCTTCGAATAATTATGTGGAGACCTTTGCTCTATTTAGTGAGAAGAAATAAATATGGTTTCTTAAGGCTATAATGATAAATGACTGGAACTTTGACCGTCAAAATAAAGTCCTGAAGGTGTCAAATAGGTTTTGTTGTAATTAGCTTCCAACTTTTAATCTCTTGTGTATCCCTGAAAGTCCAAYCTTAAGAAGTTCAAAAAACAAGGACTTTGTTTCTCATTCAAGGAGATTTTCAAATCTAAAGCAAAATGTGGATTTACAAGCAAATATTACCCATGTTATTATTTTATTTTATTTAAAACAAACACTGGACTCCATGCTTAGGAAACCACACTTCTTTGGAATCGTCTTTGTTTTTGAAACTCTTGTGATGTGGATTCAAACGAATCACAACTGAATTGTGTTAATCTTCTTTTAGGCATCTGTTTAGAAACATGATGGGTCAGAGTCAGACCAACCTGTGCCCTTGTATTTGTCAACAAAGCAGTACTTCAAGTCGTAGCTTCCCAACAGCTCATGGACCTCCTATGATGGAAAAAAATAGAAGAAAAAAATACATCATTTACAATAAAATGTTACATTTTATTAATCATGTGTGGATCTTTTTATTCTAATGTTTTTTTAGATTCTGTCTGTGGAAGTTAAATGAGTGACAGTTAACTCCTTCATGTCCACAGGGAAGCAGTTAGTGCACCTGTGTGAGAAAAAGGGAGGAAAAAAACTCCCTCATTGTTGAGGGAAAATTTGTTCTGTGTCGCTTTGGCCTATTCACAAACAAATCAAGCCTAACCTCTCTAGCGTTTTCTGAAACGTTTTGTCTCTACGCCTTCCAGCTTTAGTTAAATGGCCAACTCACATCTCGAACTCCCTCTCTAAACCCCCCCTCTCTGTGAACAATGGTACGGTCCGTAGGCCCACTGCTCCCCACGAGTCAGGCACGTTCCAAACTTAAATGTAGATCATGTCATCAAAACACAAGCTAAAGTAACACAAAACACCTGAAAATCTCCTGGGTTGATTAAAAATAAAACAATGACAATTTGTTGATTAGAAATGACTGACATTTTTGTTGATTTAAACATGTCCAAGTTCCTAAATGTTGCTGCCAAAACAAAAGGCCGAGTTCAGGCCACAGATGACCTGACTAGTGAGTCATCCGATCACCTGGTATTTACTCAGTTGACCAAATTTAACTAAAATACACTTTTGAAAAGTTTAAGAGGTGCAGCTGAATGGTGTATTGATTTTTACATAATATATAAGYGGAGTCAAGTAAAATATTTGATAAAAAAGTAAAAATAAAAAATAAAAATTGTAGCATACAAGTTATGGCTAGCAAGCTAACACAGACTGAAGCTATGCTAAAATTAGCCAAAGCTATCAATCAATCAGTCAGTTATCGATGAGGCCAACTAATTGATTGCTATTTTTTTCTTTTACCTGATTACTAACGTCAGAAGGTAAACTTTTTATTATTATTTTCCTGCGGTTGTAAAACTCCCGGCGTGTTCTGTCCAGTCGGCTCTCAATCTCTTCAGGGCTGAGTGATATCACGTCCTCGTCGACCCTTCGCTGACACTCGCGTCCGGCCGTCTCRTCTTCTTCCCCGCCGGAGGAAAGTTCGGAGAACCCGCGACCTCCAGCCGCCCACTCTTCTTGTTCCGCAGCGAGGTCATAACTTCCGTTAAGCGGACGGGAGGCGAAGCCGGGCCCGGTGTCTGTGTTCTCATCTCTGCCAGCGGTGCTTACAGACACGACGGCGGCCATCACTCAGTTTGGTGGAAGTTTCATCGTACTGGTGCTTCGGGCTGATTTGAGCAGTTTAAACAATACACACGTGGTTCCTTCGCCTCTTCTGATTGGACCAGTGGGGGACGCAATCACCATGACTACGACGCAACGTAAGCTGGGGCGGGGCCATAAAAAAGTTGTATCTAAACATAAAAAAAAATTACGYAGTATTTTTTCAGCGTTTTATGGAAATATTTGGAAAATTAAGTAATGTATATTTATTCATACTTTAAGTTTTAAATCAAAGTTACATTTTTATGACTTTACAGAACAACTANTATTCATACTTTAAGTTTTAAATCAAAGTTACATTTTTATGACTTTACAGAACAACTATTAAGTTAAAATTCTGTATATTTTTAACTGTATTGCACTTTTTTATGAAAGAATTCTGTGTTTATAATAAGGAAATTAAACATACAATTTCCTCAAAAACCATAAACACATTTTAAAGCTTTACAGATAAGTATGGCTAAAAAGAAAAAGTCCCACAGGCATTCATAGCTTGGCCTAACTGTGGTGAACTGAAACAGGTCACAGTGAGAGGCCCGGGGGTAACATCCCCCTGCACAGAATAGGTTTCCCTCTGTGCCTCATCTGACTACTCAAAAATAATGCCACGTTTAAATCTACGCAAACGTTWGAAGGCAGTTTCAAAAATGTGTGGCAGCATTTGTAAAAGAAACCATCAATGAATTCTCAAAATTAAAAAAGAGAGAGATTAGACAGAATGAAGAACAGACCACAACTTTATGTATGAGTTAAAATATGTGAATGTTGTCAGATGATAAAAGCCAGGATTCTGAGTGTTTTAAGTCGTACTGTAAAGCATGGGGACGGACCAGTTATGGTATGGGCTTTAACAAGATTGAACTGTCATAAGTGTGTTTGACAAGCCATGGCCACAATAGTCACAAAACATRTAATATTTTATTGAGATGAGTCTGATTGAGCAGTTATACCAGCCAATAAATGCAGGACTGCTCTGGGAATGGTTTCCGACATGACAGATAAGTTATTCTAACAGTCCTGCCTGCTTCACTGTGTTGTCGTTAAAGCCAAATAAAACATCTATTACCTGCAGCATTTTTATATTACAGGTAAGATTGTCCTCACAAAAATTGTGTTCAGAATTGGTGTTTTTTTTTTTTTTTTTTTTTTTTTTTTTTTACATGATCATACATTTGATATTAAAATGGATTTTGCTGCAACTCTAAAACACAATATAGTAAACTGCACGTTGCATTAAACTGAGAAACAAGTGCATTCAGTCGTGAAGAGTGTCTGTGCCTCCAGGGGGCATTACAGWCCAAACAAGGCTCAGAAAAGCAAATGTCATGTTCAAAACTCAGCACTTGGAGGAGCGAGTTTCACTCTACCAGCAATATACCCAAGAATCCTGTCYTCACAACTTCATGTGTCATTTCAGACTTTACCTCTGCTTCATTAGGGAGTTACAAGTCCTCATTTTGCATTAACATGTATTTTTTGCTGTGCTTTCTTCCAAACTGCTTATTCTATTTGATATAAAACACTAAGGATTGAATTATATATTAAATAACTGCAACATGTTTCAATGCAGAATATTAGTAACGCATGCGGTTACTATTAGATGGTTCTTTTCTCTCACACACGACCACTGATACCCATTTTAYTCAGTTTGACATGAATTATTAATACTGTTTACAAAGTTCAATAGTAAAGCTGTGATGCTTTTATCACCATGGAACAGAACTGTGGGTGAATAATCACTAAAAAAAAGGTACCTGCTGCTCTGAGTGGTTTTTATACTTATGCAGAGAAATAATTTAGTGAATAGTTAATTCCCTGTGACATGATAAAATTTAGTGGTCAGCCTTAGTGAGACACAATCACTGTACTTTGTTAGAACATRGACCAGCTGGTGAGACACAGGTTTGTTCAGACACCAACAAAAACGGTGGAAAATGGTTTATTAGAATACGATTTTTTTTTCTTCTATTTACAGAAAGATGTGCAAGGCCAGATACACTGAAAATGTACAGAAAACCAAAGAGTGCAAAAAGTCTTGAATAAATGCTGTACTTCCACTGATAGAAAATATATATATACAGCAGGTAAAATAAGTATTGAACACGTCACCATTTTTCTCAGTAAATATATTACTAGAGGTGCTAATGACATGACATTTTCACCAGATGTCTGCCAGTGCAGAGAGGCTAAAATAGGTGTAATGTGAGCTCTCCTGTGGCTCTTTATTAATAACCTCGCTGCAGCGTTCTGCACAGACTGAATGACAGTGTTCCTTGTGAAAACATGATTTTCTTCATGAAAATTGTGCCAAATGCAGATTGTGTATACTGTGT